GAATCCAAAACAAATTACCACAACTAAATTAGCTGAGCTTCTTCATGCTTTTTCTGTGTCAGAAAAATGTAAGATTAGGAGAAACTCATATTTCAGAGCAAAGAAACTGGAGACCAAGTGCATTTATAAAGTAACTCTCTCTTTTGGTTCAACATTGCTTTGTTTCATGATTAATCTGCTGCAAAGCAGTTATTCCAAAAGAGGGAGAAGGTTTAACTACTGTTAAATTATTTTTAAAGGTTACATACAGGTTCAGCCATGTGCTTCTAATTAAGTTAGCCCAAATCTGAATGAAAGAATAGAAAGGGATAAGTAGAACTAGCCAATAAACTCTTTTTGCCAGTGTTCACCACAAAAATAACTTCAGTTATGCCAAATGGGCTGGCCTCATTCCTTAAATAGACAGGACTGTACAAGCCAAGTTCAACAACTTAATACAGAATAATAAGGAAAAATAAGCTTCCATCCAGCTTCTTTAACCCATTTCTGGAATTCACTTATTTTAAGCCTTGTAAGGAGGCCCAGTTGCTTCATGTACAAATGCAATTCAGTTACATTTCTTGTCCACATTGTTTTCATTGTTGTTCCTACTTCTGTCCAACAACCCAGTGTCTCCAGTGTAACACTAACTGGGTGAGAAGACTCTTTTAAAACTGAAAAACTGGCCACAGGCAAACTGTCAGAATATACCTATCAACTTGCAGTTCACCTGCACTCAGATTTCTACAGAACTAAACCTTAGCACAGAACAGTCAAAGGATCTCTGATAAAAAGCCAACTAAGGAGGTAACAGCAAAAAGAGTGACAATAAAACAGATACTGATGTCTTGTAAGGATACTTGTTTATTTAGAACAAAACCATTTTAAATATAATTTTTAATATTAGTTTAACAGTATGTTTAGCTTGTTATTGGGAGATTCCACTCCCTGCTCTGGCTAACAATAATAAAGGCTGCACTCTGTAAACACTTATGCATATGACTTTAAGGGAACTACTCATGTGCAAGAAGTTCTAAGTGTTTGCAGAATCTGGGCCAAACTGTTAAACTGCCCATCCCTTTACCTTCTTCTCTTATGTAAACTTCTCTAGTGAACAAAGCAGACATAAGCTGTACTGTCTATTCACTGCCAGAAAATACTTACCATGCTCACTGGTTCTAAACTGCAGTTGTGCAACTCAGTGATAAATTAAGCTTTCCAATTAATGCATTACTACAAGGAAACAAGACAACTGTAGAGTTTAATAGCATTTGGTCGTACAGAGGGACAGGAAGATTCTGAGAAAGCTTAGAAGAAATATTTTTGTATTTTACCCATTGCCCCCACCCACCTGATGAACCAAGGCCTTTAGTTTAAAAGTGCCTTAGCTTTAAGTTAAGCTTAATGTGCACCTATAAAGAAACTCCGTTACGGGAACCATGTAATAACATTTGAAACAACAGCACAAAATATCATTGTACTTGAATAATTTAGTGACAAAATCAGTATCTCTCAGGCTGTAACAGTTGTATTACTTTATTTTTAATGCTGCTAATATTGGCTGGTTATTGGTTCTACATGTGTGCCCGTTCCACTAAGGACCCCTGATTCTGGGAGGTGCTGAGCACTCTCAATTCTTATTGATAGGCAACGGGGGGGGAGGGCTCAGCCCAATTCCAGGGCCACTAAATCCAATAGGCTCTCACTGTCTTCAGTACCGATTGGGCCTTACGCACCCTTAAACTGTGTTTCTGAAATATTTCCACATCTGTGTGGAGTGTACAAACTCTGAATGACACCGTGATATTGCCACTGATCTATAAATGCACTCACATAAATCTCACTTAAAGGTATGGCACTTGTTTGATGGGAGGCAAGAGGAAAGAAAAATCCCAATTACCTTTGTAAACTAATGCAGAGAGAAAGCTAAGAAGAGCAGTTTAGTGACAATAAGCAGGGAGCAGAAACCAGGATTTCTGGGATCTATTCCTCGCTCTGCCACAGCCTCAGTGTTGGACTTTAGTTTGCTCACTTCCCTCTGTTTTCCTGTTAAGTGGAGATACGGTAATAAGACTGACCTACCTTACAGGTGTATTGTGTGGCCTCATGATTTAACCTCTGTAACACACTTCAAAAACCTCTGGTGAGAGGCTATAGGAAGGGAAAGTCGGTGTGAGTGTCAGAACATGTGGCTTTTCTTCTCCTATCTACTGATGTCTGTGTAGTGGTTTGCTAAAATATTACTCATCTGCATCTATCTGAAAGCCTTGCTTATCAACACAGTTCTTTATTATCCTCATAAAGGGAGCTATGGTTTTATTCAATGTATCTTTGCTGCATGAAATGCCCCTGGACCTGTCACTGGCTCTTCCACAGAGCACCAGCTTAACCAGTCCTGGTGGGCCCCACATCTATCCTCCTTCCTTCACTTTACACTATCCCCGCCCCTTTCCTCACATCCCATCTCTCTGCACCTCCTAATCTCTACAGGGGGCTGTCTCACCCCAAAAGGCCCTCAGGGAGGCTGTTTCTGTCTCTCTCTATGTTGAGACTTGCAGGGGAAATTCCTCCTCACAATCCATGTCCCCACCCCTCTCCCACAGGGAGGGTGTATCTCCCTCTCCTCCTAATTTAGGTTGGTCTGGTAGGGTAGGGAGCTGCTTCTTGGCATTAATCTGTAAATCCCCGGGGGGGCTGTGTCCCTCACTCCAACCTGCCCGCGGGGGACTGTGTGCCCAACTCTGACACTCTCTCAGGGGGCTCTGTCCCCCACTCTGATCTGCCCTCAAGGGGCCTGTGTCCCCCCCACTCTCCACTCTTCTCTCAGGGGGTCTGTGTCCCCCACTCCGACACTCTCTCAAGGGGTCTGTCCCCCACTCCAACCTGCCCTCAAGGGGCCTGTGTCACCCTCCACTCTTCCCTCAGGGGATCTGTGTCCCCCCCCACTCTTCCCTCAGGGGGTCTGTGTCCCCCACTCCGACACTCTCTCAAGGGGTCTGTCCCCCACTCCAACCTGCCCTCAGGGGCTCTGTGTCCCCCCCCACTCTTCCCTCAGGGGGTCTGTGTCCCCAATCCGACACTCTCTCAAGGGGTCGGCCCCCACTCCAACCTGCCCTCAGGGGGTCTGTGTCCCCCCCCACTCTTCCCTCAGGGGGTCTGTGTCCCCCACTCCGACACTCTCTCAAGGGGTCTGTCCCCCACTCCAACCTGCCCTCAAGGGGCCTGTGTCACCCTCCACTCTTCCCTCAGGGGGTCTGTGTCCCCCCCATTCTTCCCTCAGGGGGTCTGTGTCCCCCACTCCGACCTCTCTCAAGGGGTCTGTCCCCCACTCCAACCTGCCCTCAGGGGGTCTGTGCCCCCACTCTTCCCTCAGGGGGTCTGTGTCCCCCACTCCGACACTCTCTCAAGGGGTCTGTGTCCCACTCTCCATTCAGGGGTCTGCCCCCCCCTCCCCCGCTGACACTCTCTCAGGGGGGATCTGGCTCAGTCCCGGGGGTGGGGGGGGTGGCAGCCCCTCCCCGTTTATGCTGGCCCCCGAGGGGGGCAGTGCCCTCCGTACCCCTCCTCACCCCTCACTCCTCCGGGGGCGGCCGCCCCTGGGCCGGTTCGGGGGGGCGGGGCCTACAGGGCCCCCCGCTCCCGGGCCCCTTCCCGCGGAGCGCAGGGGCGGGGGCCGGCCCCAGGCGCGGGCCGAGCGGCGGGGAAGGAGCGCGCCGGCCCGGGGAAGGGAGGCGGCACCAACCGCTCCCTCCACGCCGCTCCCTCCGCCGCGGCGCTGCAGGGACCGGGCCGATCCGGGCAGCTGCGGCTCGGCGTCCCCCTGCCCGGGAGGAGCTGGAGGGTCCGGCCGCGGCGCCCCCCGGAGGAGCTGCAGCGGGGGGGGAGTCTCTGCGGGACGGGAGCCTGCAGCTGGGGGGCAGGGGGAGGGGGCGAAATCTCAGTGCAATTGTCCCCCGTCCCATAGCGGTAGCCGGGGGGGCGGGGGAGGAAGGGGGCTGGTGCAAACGCCTGCACTACAGCAGCTGTCCCTCAGCTCGGGGTGTGTGTGTGTGTGTGTGCAAACTCCTTCCCAAGTGCAATTGTCCCCCAGCTCAGGAGGTGTGTGTGTGCAAACTCCTTCCCAAGTGCAATTGTCCCCCAGGTCAGGGGGTGTGTGTGCAAACTCCTTCCCAAGTGCAACTGTCCCCCAGGTCAGGGGGTGTGTGTGTGCAAACTCCTTTCCAAGTGCAATTGTCCCCCAGCTCAGGAAGTGTGTGTGCAAACTCCTTCCCAAGTGCAACTGTCCCCAGGCTCAGGGGGTGTGTGTGTGCAAACTCCTGCACTAGTGCAACTGTCCCCCAGCTCGGTGTGCGTGCAAACTCCTGCCCTCGTGCAATTGTCCCCCCAGCTCAGGAGCCACAGCGGGCGCCGGGTCCTGGGGCTGGGTGGTGAAAGCTCTTGCTCTCGTGCAGTTTGCTGACCCCGATCCCTCGCAAGGCGGCGGCGCGGCTGGCGGAGCAGTATCCAGCGGCCGCTGTTACCCCTTGATCGTCTCCCCTTCGCACCTTCCTCCCCCCCCCCCCACGTCAGAAATACGAGGCTGCCACCAAAGGGGAGCTGAAGCGGCGCGCGCGCTGTTGGATTTGCACCACCCCACTCAAAAGCAGGAGACCCTTTGTTTTAAAAAAAAAAAAAAAACAATTTAATGTGGTCCGCGCCTAAGCCCGGGACGCCTTCTTAGCCCCCCCCCCGCCGCCTTCTTTTTTTTTTTTTTTTTTAAAGCGAGGGATGCCCATGTGGATGCCCTATTACACATTCTGCAACCGGTTTTTTAAAGGTTAATTTTCTCCCTTCCCTCCCAACTCAGCCCTCGAGGGACGTTTAAAGGCTACAAAAGATCGGGGAGCGGAACCGCTGGCCCCGAACCGCTCCCGCAGGGGCGGGCAAGCCGCGGGGGGGGGGGGGGGGGGGGGGGGGCTGGGAAATGCAGCGGTCCCCTTGACCCTGCCCTGCGGCTGACCCTGCCAAGACACTCGCGCGCCCCAGTGCGCATGCTCCAGGCTGGACAGCTCCTGAGAGGGAAATTTAAAAACGGTTTGGAGCCCGAAACTGCAGCCAAATTACAAAAGAGAGAGATCCCCGTAGGCCAGAGAAGTGCCGCCGCCGCCGCCGCAGATCTCGCTCCAGGTACCATCCCGCAAGGCTTGCTTTGCTCACCGTTGTGTAACTAGCGCATTGCATTTTCCTGTCAGCACAGAGGATGTAATCTACGAGTTCCTCTTGAGAAATATGGGCAGAGACAGAATGTTTAGCTCCTGTTCCCTGCAGGGAGGTTGCAAGCTTTTTCTGAAAACTTGGGTCAGCCTTGTGGGCACATGTAGTTTTTATTTTTTATTTTTCCCTCACTCCGCCTCAGCTGTACTTTGAGAACAGCAGTGTTGCAAACAGTTAGGCTTGGGGGCAAGTTGTGTGACTGAACCTTTCCTTCCCTTGCTGCTAAGATGAGCTCATTCATTGCCACAGCTGCTTGTATTATGGAGTGTTTTTAAAGGACTCTGCAGTCACCCAGATTTTTTGTAAAACTTGGGTCTTCACATCAGTTCTTTGGCAGATTTTTTTCTGGTAATAACTTAGATGTCCTTAAAATATTAGCCGTGGTCATTTTTAAATGTCGTTTAGTTTTCCTACATTTTAAATTGTCAGGTCATATGATTTTGTTTCGTATATAAAAACTGACACACAACTGTTTTCCTAATTTGGTTGGTATTTAGTGGACACAACCCTGATGCTGTAATGGATTCATTTGACCCTTCCATTTATTACGTCGTTATATATTCTGCATTATGTTCTCCTTTGCCTTTGTAAAATATTTAGACATTTCATAGCCTAAGTAAAACATTGCTCTTAAAAATGATAGGAAACATGACAACAACAACAATTATATCTTACATTCCAGGTTTTTTAATTTGGAATTTTTAAAATTTTCCTCCATACTGCTGAAATGCTGGATAGCTACTTCATACCTATATGATTTTTATTTTTTTTTTTTTTGGTCTTCCCCAAAGGAGATGATAGAAAGTGACATTACATCCATGATGTCAGGAATCATTAGAAATTCAGGGCAAAATCATCACCCCTCGCCGCAGGAATACAGGTGAGGAATTTATCCGTTTGTAAAGAGGTGTTGCATCCTCATGGCCCATTAGATGACTTTAACAGTTGTGTATGTTTCTAAATAAAATCAAATATTCCAGAAATCCTCTTTAATGAAGAAGCTAATTACATTTAGCTCTTGTCCTTAAAAGGATTTTTCTCTTTGGTGACTGCTTGTAGCATACTATGTGCTCAGAAACATCCTGGCTTAAAATGTTTTGATAGTAAATCATAGTCAGTGCAAATATGTTCAAAGCCTGGTGTGAACTTCTGGCATAGTCTGTGCTCTACGTGATTTGCCAGACTATGATACTCTTGTAAAATAGTAATGATTTAAAAGCCCCCTGTCATGTAGCATTTTGAATTGATAGGAAAAACAGGAGTCATGTTCAACTAGCAATTGGGAAGGTCCTAATTAAAATAAATATTTACTTTAGTTCCCAAATGCATTCGTATGCCAAACTACTTATAATATGAACAGGAACAAACTTGGGTTTGCTGACAACCTTTAGCAAGTAGGCATTTATTTACTTATACCAACACTTACCCATTTACATTTTAAAAAAAAATCTTTTTTTCTGAGAAGTCATGGGACAGTTACGCATGAATTACAGTGCTTTGGGTTAATTCAGCTACATCTTATCACATGAGGTGATGTTTTATGAAACACATTATAGCATGTGAATCAGTGCAGCAAAGTGAAGAGGGCTTTTTTTGGTTTGTTTTTAAATGCTGAGTGGGTGACTCTAACAGCCAGTGGGTGTTTTCAACATTTCCTTGGGTAAAAGTGGGCAGCCGTATGTGTTCTCCTTCTTCTTCTAGCCTCTCTCTATTCAAAATGCAAACATTGCCAGGCAGCTTCTTTCAGCGCAACAAGTGATTTGTTATACTGGGTGAAGCCACTATGGAGAAAGGTTTGTGAAACCCTGTTTTGCTGTTTATTAAAGCACTGTTTGCTCTAGGCATTTTGTTGGTTTTGTAAATATTGGTAAAGAAATGTCTGTTGTTTAGGAAGGGTGTGGGTGACCTGTGGATGCTCAACTGTAAATCAGTATTAACTCTCTGAAGCATATAGCACTGAAGCAAAAACCATTCATATAGAGGAGATTCTTTAATTCATAGTAGCAAAAAAAAAAAAAAAAACCCAAAAAACCCCAAGCATTTTGCAGGATATAACTTATTTTACTTTTAGGACACACAGCCAGAGTATCTTAGTTTACTTGTTTCAGAGTAGCAGCCATGTTAGTCTGTATCCGCAAAAAGAACAGGAGTACTTGTGGCACCTTAGAGACTAACAAATTTATCTGAGCATAAGCTTTTGTGAGCTACAACTCACTTCATCGGAGCATGCCACAAGTACTCCTTTTCTTTTCGTTTACGTGGAGATCAAGCAGGTTTTAAAACTGCTTTTAGTTATGTATCCTATAGTCTTAAAGCTAATAGCTCCTACATCACTAAAGTTGTTTTTAACTAGTTTGAGATTTTTTTAAAAAGTCTTTTCTGAGTTATGTGACCTCATTTACAAGTAGTAACTTCTGATAAAAATGCATCAGATCTGAACTACACTGCAAATGTGGAACAGTATTTGTCCTACTTCATGAGAAAACACTTTGGATTATGTAAAAGAAAATCTTTTAGACGGAATGATTTTAAGAAAAGAATAGACCTGTCAAATTCTATCAGCTCTGTTTACTCTCCTGCTGTCACCACAGTCCAAGACTGGAACCCACAGTCCTGAGTTCTCCATGGGGGAGCAGAAGGGCTCCGCAGAGTAGGAAATGGCCTCCAATTAGTGAATGGGAGGCTGGGACTGTGCTGAGAAGACCCTTCTGTCTCACTTAGAATCTTTCAATTGGACAGTTACACTTAGAGGAGACCAGGCTTTCCAGGAAGGGTAAAGAAGGGAACAGACAGAGGGAGAGAGACAGGAATGAAAGGCAGCAACTACAAATAATTTGTACATGTGGTTTATAGAGAAAGTGTGCCCATGCGGTTTAAAGGTCAGATTTGAAACATTACAAGGTCTCCCTTGTTTTAAAAAAATCACTTTGGCAGATCTTGAGAGCTTCCAGACCAAGAGCATATTTAAATGAGAGAGAGTGGATGGAGTGGGGATATGGACTGTATTACTCAGTAAAGTCCAGACACAGACAGACTTGTATGATGGTTTCAGATACATATTTTTGCACAGATTCAACAGTGCAACATAAAACACCATCCTTGCTAAGTGCCATCGTCTACACCCTCAACTCCTCCCTCCTATGGGATGTAGGTACCTGCCTACTTTGCATAAAAGGATGCATTTCCAACTCCTCCATAGAAAACATTCTCTCTCACCCTTCGAGGTTACCACCTTAAGGGTAGCAGGGACACACACTTCTATTGACTGCAGCCAATACTTTAGGGAATGATAAAGCTGTAGAAGAGCTTGCTGGGATTGGCATACCCTGAACATGTTGCTCTTACTAATTCATTTTTAAGATTAAACTGATTTTAGTGTAAATATTTTATTTTTCAAAACTGAAACAACAGGTGACAAGTTTATAATGCAATAGAGCATCTGTGGGTGTTCCAGTAGTGAGCTAAGCAAATTATAGGTTCTGAGTCAAAGCCTATTAAAGCAATGGAAAGACTCCCCTTGATGTCAGCGGGCTGTGGAGCAGGCCCTTGAGGAGCAAAGTTATTCAGCTTACAAATGCTGTGGTCTCTACGAATATTCTTTTTGGTAGAATTTTACAAGTAAAACAGAATGGCAACTTTGGAACCATTAAGGGCCATTGGGCCAAATATTCATGCACTAAAGCAACTTTACACAACAGAGATTTTAAAAGTTCCTAAATATGTACTGATCCCAAACACAGGAGTGGCTATTTATTTGCTAAACAGTGCTCTAGTTCCAAATCAGCATGTGGGTGAAACTGTGCATTTTTCCCAAAAATCAATTGATTGTCGATTCAGTAGACCCACTTGGGGGGAGGTATGGGGAAATATGGTTATCAAATAACATAAGGGACACGTCTCAAAATACATACTAAACTATTCTAACTTTTATAACAGTTTAAATCTAGACTGACTTGACCACAGAACTAACTGGCCCCAGAGCACGCCAGAGTCTTATATAATGGGTCTGATTCTGCACTGCAGTCTGTTTGCGTTTAGAGTATCAGGCAAAACTCCCAGTGTTGTCTCTGGAAGTTTCCTCAGAAATGACTGTGGCACTGGTCCAACTACTGTAATCCAGGTTTTAACACCTCCTAATGAAGGTCTGAATTGATTTTAACTGGCATTTCAAAAAGCCATACACATTTTCACAGAGCAAGTACATATTTGTTAAGGGTGGGACATTAACAAAAGTCAAAACATTCACTGTTAAGAAATATTCAACATTTTTGCTCACGTTTGACTCTCTTTGTTTTTAGAATATAGCAGCAGCATACTGGTTTTGGCCAATCGCTAACCTGCTTCTGGGCTACATATGTTACAGGGTGAGAACATTGACATGCCTAAAATGCTATGTTTGGACCACATGCCTCTAGAATAAGAAGGGAATGCAAGAGTAATTCATCTGGCCTAATCAGCATTTATGCAAATACAAGTTTAACAGAGTCAAAGAAACATACTTGTGTACTGGTATAGCAAGGAATACTTTTAAAAGCGTCACTAACTAAAATGAAATGTCACTTAAGGAATCACATTACAAATAGTAAATAGAGCTGGTTAGGTAAATTAACTATTGTCTGGAGCTTATCACTTTGTGTAAAGGTTGTTGGACTTTCAATGTAATGTAGTATAACAGCATCCTCATTTTCCCCTATTTCTGATTTATTTGAGCAGCCTTGTACAATATTTTTGAAGGACTTGCAATGTGAGTATAAAGTCACTATTCATATTAGGTTAGAAATAACGGTTTAAATAGGTAGCTCTTAGCCAAAAGATGTTTAAATAGTCACAAAGCACTGACTGTATGAGTAGAAAATATCTACTTTACTTGCATCATATACTGGGTGAAGCGCACCCTCAAATAAATAAATAAACCTTTAGTGTTACAGGAATATAAATACACAAAATTATCACAGGAGCATTAACTCATTAGATATCCTGGCTAAATTCTAACGGATGTAATTACATTCTTCCAACATAAACTCCCCCCACAGATTCATCTGGTTAAGATATACCTCAGTTCCTGTCCTAAATGGTTATGTAGTATGACTTGTTCCAATAGGCCCTGATTCAGCAAGAGATTTAGGCATGTTTGTAGTCCTATTGAAACCAATGAGATGGAGAGTTATGCACATGCTTAAATAACCTGCTGAGTTAGACCCATAAACAGCTGTTATGTTCCACTCCAGAGATCGCTGCACTTCAGTGGTGGAAAAAGGGCCTTGTCTACCGCTTGTATATCAGTTTGTTTGTAAAATGTTTTGTGACAGGATGTGCTTGTAAGATACGACTACTGTATGTCTGGAAGTCAGGCTACAACATGAGCAAACCAAGTTTGGAATTTGGATCTGTGAGGAGCAATCTATGATTTAAATATTTTCTATATTCATCATTGGGGACAATCACGATCAGGGAGTTTGGATTAAAATAGAACTTGCTGCAGCTAAAAGGTTACAAATACATAATTAATACAACAGTAATTGTTCCTGAAGAGAATTGCAGCGTCCATTCCCTTGACACCGTGACGTGGCTGAGGGATTTTATCACCTTAGTTGCTTTAAGAGAGAAAGTTCCTAAAAACGAGTCAAACTCAGGGTGCTGAGAATTGGTTTAAATGGATTAGCTCAACTGTTGCCCATGCAGTTCCTGAAATTTAATAATCAATGTAAAATAAAAAATGATGGCCCTTGCTTCTCAAATTATTTTGCATTTACAATATTCTTACTTCTAGCTCTGCCAGTCTATGGGCCCCATCCTGCCAAGTTCCAAGACCCCTCCCTCAGTGTTCAATGAAATCAGTATAGAGGACCCTGAACCCCTCACCGGAGGGGCTTGGCACCT